TTTTTTTTTTTTTTTTTTTTTTGGTCTTTAGAAAAGAGAAATTGGCAGCACTTGTTAATCAATTGACTGTAGGAGGTGAGAGAGGAAGAACCAAATTAGGTTTTGTATTTGGACAACTAGTTGGGAGAATGGGTCCAATCCTTTAGATCTGGATTGTAGATTTGTGGGGAAAGGTTGTATGCCGTTTAGGAGGCACTAAGATTAACATGCTTGGAGGGCATGCAAGTGAAATGTCCAGGGGATGTCTGGATGGCACAGTTTGAAGCTAGGAGACACTGAGCAAAAGATACAGGTCTGTGATTCAATGGTATGGAGGTCAAGTTTGGAAAGAGCCATCCAGGAGTCCGGAAGCCTGTTAAGAGACCATCCCTGACCCAGTGAAACTCCCTTTTTTGTCACCAACGAATGATTTGTGTATTATAAAAATAATGTGGCAATCAGGCAAACTAGGGTGAAAAAAGGACTGGCCCAAGGGTCTAGAACTAGATTCTAGTCTGAGCTTTGTCACTTACTGGTGATGATGAAGATACGCCATCTGCTTTAATTACTTTATTTAACTGCGAAGATCATAGGTAATGGAATTGTGAGTGTAAATTTTTCTGTTATCACAGTATACAATGCATTAACAATGTGTATTCTTTAAGTAACCAGAATTCTCATTCCCTAATCTCAAGTCTACATGTTGTATGTTCAAACATACTGTTTCAAAAAGCGAGTATTCCCCCTAAAGAACGGATATTCCCCCCTCTGCTAATCGTATCCAACCCGCCAAACGTGGGAGAGGGGGAGTTCTGCAGCAAACTCAATGGCAGGCTGTAGCTATCTGCAGCCCCAGAACCCAGGGAAGCGCCTAGAATGAATGAACCAACCCGCCCATCCATGGATCGCACGGCGTTGGCCGCATTTTGGGCAGGACTACACTGAAGCCCAAGGAGGAAAGAGGGTGCGGGCTCTAGGGTCAGGACGATGATAGGACCCGAATCCAGGACACCTGGCTCCCGGGGGTGGGGGTGGGGGACCACCGATGCTCCCCGCGCCGGCCCTGCCAGGCTCCC